CTTCTGGTACTGTCTAGGACAATCCGTACTACTCCAGAACGGTCTAGACAGGTCTATGCCTTACTCATCTCTTACTCATCCTATGGTGCGATACGTCGCAATTCTTTCACCATCGTATTATTCATTGCACTATGGTACATGTGACTAACCACTCTTCGATTAGTCATGGACACTTCTCTGTAGTATATAAGGACTTCAGATTGCGTCCTCCCTCTTCAGTCTTTCCTTACTGACTGAAGAGTGAGTACTTCATTACCTTTACCTCTAACTTGTAGTTACTTACTTAACCTTTGTAGTCTTGCTTCGACTCTAGGTACAGTTGGTTACTGCAATATAGTCTTTCCTTACTGACTGAAGATCTTGCTTCGACTCTAGTCGGATCTAATCTTTGTCTTCACAGCCCCGAGTTTATCAAAACGGGCGTAGACCGAATGCCTACCGCCAAGTTACAACCAGACGAATACGCACCTCCGTCCGTGGATGACGTCCCCCGAGTCTGGTCACTTGTCGACTCCCCTACTCATCAGGTCCCCATTCCCACGACCCTCACCGACAGAGCGCAGCAACTCTCCTACGTGGCCGCTCTTGAACCAGACAAGAGGTGATATCATGAAGCGGCAAAGCGACCTGTCCGAAAGTGGTGGATGTCGCCATGGACGGATGAGGACTCCTCACCCTGTAAGTGTTTGAGCGGGCAGCTATGAAGAAGTGCTCAGCAAGTGCTGAAACGTGCCAGGATCCTGTCAATCCCAGGCAGATATCTTGCGGAGGAGATACAGAAAGAGTACCCGGCCGTTGACACTAACACGGTTCGATCCCTCGTCTCGGTGGCCGGACCCTGTCCCCGCGATGTCATCACATACGTGACTTCTCGACGCGGCTTTCTCAACGCTGTAATAGAAGCGTTGCGGTACCACAGTGAATTACCCTTTCTCATTCCCATGTCATCACACTCATCCGTCGCATTCAGCCACTATCGTCCACAGATCTAGATGAGGACATATGTGTCGTCTGTTACAAGTCTGCACACGTATACCAGAAGATGCTAGAGAAACTCCTAGCGCTTCAGATAGACGAAATTCCGAGAGTGGTACTATGCCTGCAGAGGCATCGGTCTTGTGCCGGTTTTGCTGGATCCCTCTTTGGAGGCTTTGCGATCCTCTCCACACGTGCTGAGTTCTCTTCAGTGGATCCCAGTTTTGGTGCCTTCGCATGAATGTCTGAGGTTGAAAATAGCGGCACTCGGTTCCTGACTCGGTTCCCTACCGTCGGGGATCCGAGGACAAGTCTCGGCTCACGATGGTGGTTGAGGTGGACCAGCGTATCATCCAGCAGCGCACGCCAGTGGGTATTTCCGGCTATATAGCCTCCGCCAATCTGCGTCGACCTTGGTCCACACGATCGTACGTGACGTACGCAAAGGTCACGGATCTGAAGACCATCAACTCGTCGTTGTCACATCATCGTCCATCCGCTCATTACAACTCCCTGTTCGACGCATTCTCTTCGAGGGCACTTCTCCTGGTCATGTCGTGCTTTGGATTCTTGCGGTGACGATTCAATGGGAGCACACCGGCGCACGCTGCGGGCTCGAGGTGTTCCTTGAGTTGACGGAGCGCACGTGGGGCATGGCCGGGGTCGGGGGTGGAGGTGAAGTATGTTCCGCTTATTCCGCAGGAGGACCCCGGATACGATGTGGAGTGAAATCTCGCCGAAGAGTTCAGCGGGCACCAAGGCGAGTTTTATGCGCAGTTCCTAGATACGTCGGTGTGGTACGGGCGTGGTCTCACGGTCTCAGATATTGTCGGTGCACGAAAGCCGGAGGATGGGTGATTGTGAATGTGTGCCTGTACTCTACGTGTCTCCACATAGCTTGCTGTATGACCTCTTCGGTCTCGAAAAATCGGGACTAAAATCTTACGAACCGATAAATACTCGGGGGCTATATGACAGTCGCGGGCTAAGATGGGGGCACGGCCTTTGTTTGAATGCATCCGGACCAACTCTCTACGAAGTTCGAACATACATACATGAATGTCGCAAAAACACACGGGTCGCCAAGCGACGCGCTTGAGGCGTCACGCCGCGCCCTCGAACCCGCGAGTCGTAATGTATCACGCCTGAGGTCTTTTGTCGGGGAGGGCCGCTCCGCCTACAACGATGTCTGCAGACAACGTTGTACCTCGGGCAGTACGAGGGCGGTCTCCGTGGAAAGGGCTCTACTTTCCTTCAGGTGTGTAACATCGATATCATCGACTGCGTTGTTTCAGGTGATCAATCGCATATCTTTGCGTAGTGTGAAGTATCACTGATCAATCTGGGCAATCAACGAGACTGCTCACCGTTAAGCGTTCAACATCGGAGACTCCACAGTAGAAGAATCATATCATCAAACCGAGATACATCACTAGCGTGCGAGCGAGAGCAGAGTCGGGAGCGAAAATGCACTAACAGATGCGATAGAAAACTGGACAAGAACAAGCGGCCTATACAAGAATCCACGATAACCTATCGAGCCTCCCATGACAATCCAGGCGTCAGTCAGTGTGCGTATCAAGGTCCATCCACAGAAACTGTCTTCGTCGGTTGAGATCTTACAACCCTATCCGTAGCGAGTGTCCCATTCGGAATGCGTGGCGGCGGCAACGTTATTGGTAGGGGCGGAAGCGTGGGTCCGACCTCTGACGACACGGGTGACGGATGCAGCTGTGGATGCGGGTCGCTCATGCTCGCGATCTTGGCCATCCTCCCATCCTCGGGAAGCGGGAAATTGTCTAGCTTCGGGAGCGTCGTGGGAAGACCTGGTGATGGCCCACGCGCGTGTCTCATTCCTGGACTGCCCACATGTCGTTGACTCTGCGGTCCCTGCGGGGGTGGAGAACGTGGGCCTCCCAGAGGCACCCGCCCAGGCTGAGCGGAACGCACAGGAGAGCGGAGCGACCCTGCGAAAGCGGACGGGCTTGAGGGGTGCGTGGGCCCACGGCCGTTGTCATTGGGAGGAGAGCCAGAACCGTATGGACTGTGGAAGGAAGAGGTTGGAGGAGGGTGAGGGAGGCGTGAACTGCCCGGTCGCTGGCCGCCGGATCCTGCAGGTCCCAGCGTTGCAGATAGCGGTCGCGCGAGGGGGTGATCGTCCGTGGACCACGAACCACGCCTAGTTGCGGGCGGATTAGAAGCGCCTGCTGGACCGTGCGTCTTCCGAGGAGATCCAGCTGAGGAGAGATCTCTTTGAATCTGTGAAGGCCCCATCGTAAACGGCGTCATCAGGCGGTCGTGAACGTCAGGTTGTGACGGACCCAACAGACCTGGTGGTGCTCTCTCCCGGTCGCGATCGCGTTCACGGTCACGTTCGCGATCAATTGGTAGATGCTGTCCAGAAGGTAGAGCCTCAGACTTCCAGAACGCGGACATGGGAGACGAGTTTGCTGGCGGCTTCTGGACGGGGGCAGACAACTCGATCACTTCTGTTGGTGGACCCGACCGCGGGTGACGCTGTTCGAACTCCCGGCCACCGCGCGGGCTCGATGTCTGCCCAGACGGTCCACTAACCGAGCCAGGAGGCAAACCTGTCATCGGAGGGGCATGGCCCACTGGAGGACCCGGGAACCCTTGTTGCGGAGGGACGTGGTGGTGATGGTGGTGCACGTGATGATGATGATGCTGGTGGTTATGAGGTGGGTGGTGATGCGCAGCTTGCACTTGAGTGTTATTATGCGCATGCTGATGAGGGTGTTGATGCCCGGGATGTCGCGGTTGGGTATGAGACATATGATAGGTACGCTCCGCCTCCCGCTCACGTTCACGATCACGATCACGATCACGATCGCGTGAAAGCCGTTCTCGCTCTGCACGCTCCTTTTCCCTTTGAGAGATCACGTCCGACATGCGCTCGCGCTCGCGACCTTCACCCTCCCCATTAATGCGCTTTGACTCCCTCCCTCCGGGCCAGCCGTTGGATTTGGGATTAGCAAACGCAGGAGGCACGGGCCCACCTCCAATAGTCGTAGGCACACCCGCGCCAGGACCAGCACCATTGAGAGGCACAGGCGATATAGAGCGCCTCATCAGCGTTCCCGGACCGGGACCTCCCCCGAATTGCTGGGCCACATGGAGATGTTGCATTCCCGGTGGCTGACGCATCTGCATCTCTTGCTCCAGCTGTAGCTGATGATGGGAAGGAACGTGGGGGAGTCCACCTGACGGGGCGGAGTGTTGGTGCGAAAGGCGCGGAGGAGGCGGGAAGCCCTGGACCATGCCTTGCTGCGGTAAGTGCTGTTGCTGAATTGGCGGACCAAAGCGGTTGGGGCCATCCATCATATGCATCCCCATCGCGTACGGGTCCATCCCTTGCGGAATGCCGCCTAGGACGGGATTCATCGGACCCGTCACATTGCGGTGGGGGTCGTATCCGACTGGGACGTGTCTGTGCGAATAGAAATGGTCTAAATCCTGTATTATCTCGTGGCGCGAGAGGGGGGCGAGCGTGGGGTACGCGAGGGGTATCTGGGACGCTGATTCTTTCTTGCGCGATGTGCGTCTCAGGAGTGCGGATGCCGATTCCGGGAGGCCAAAGGGGCTTGACTGAACAATTTCGCTCAGTGACGGGGCAGGAGGAACCTCATGCAAAGGTAGAGGGAAGCGACGCGCTGTGGGAATACATAAGTGTAAGTCGTACATATACACAATCGTGGGACGTACGTGGTGGAGGACGCTCCAGGGTCCGTCGTTCGCGTTCCAATTTGCGCTTCTTTCCGTTGGTTTCAGCGATCATTTGAGTCTGAAGCTCGTCCCTAGCGTTCTAGAAGAACCTATTAGCCATTCTCGTCCAGTCACCGAATGCAAAAGCCGCTTACACTCCAACTACTCCAAGCACCCGCCTCGTCCAACCTCCGGCGTTTCGTAACATTCGCGATCTCATAATCACGTCGACGCGCCGCGAGCTCTAGCCTCTTGTCACGCCTGCTCGACAGCTCCGCATGCAGATGCAGCAGTTCTGGGTGCGTTCCTGTCCAACACAGGACACATCATACCCCTTCAGACTACGGACACGAGCCAACACATCACAACACAACGCACCGTCTGCGATGAGCCCCTCCTCCCACGCGAGCGAGTCCATCTTCTCCACATACAGTCGCTCCCGCAGCAGTGCGAATTTGAGCTCGATCTTGGCAAGCTCGTCGAGTGCCTCTGCGCGATGCGCAGGCTGCATGTCAGCGTCCAGATCGAGCTCCGGCGTTGGGACCTCTAGGTCATCCGCGTCTGCACCCTCGCCTTCGGGCAGTTCAGCCTGGTCCGCGTCGGGGTCTCCATCCCCAGCTTCAGCAGGTGCTGCTGCCCGTGACCTACGCGCGGCGCGCGTGCGGGGCTTGGTCTTCCTGTTCCTTGCAGCGCGTCCGGAGGGCTTCCGCTCGGGCTCGGGTTCCGCTTCAGGTTCCGAGGGGACATCCTGCTCTTGCTCTGGTTCGACAGAGGGATATCGGGAGGAAAGTCGAGACGCGGAGGGGGTGGATGGTTGTGAAGACGATGGTGACGGGGGCCGTAAGAGACCGGCCATGATTGACGTCCCGGCGACGGGTGACGGGAGCACGGGTAGCACAACGTCGACGTCCATTGTGGCGTCTGGGTCTGGGTCTGCAGCGTCAACAACGCCTTCGACAGGGGTGACCGCCTCAGTGGTAGGTTGCTCGTCCTCCACAGGGATGTCAGCGTCAGCATCGACGTCGTCGGCGGGTAGTTCCTCCTCGTCGACCTCAGAGCCTTCCTTGGTAATCTCCCCAGTTTCTGGGACGTCTTCGTCGTCCACCTCATCTTCTCCGGCATCATGATTCTCGTCGTCGGTGAGGGCAGGTGACGCCACCGCTTTGGGCGACTGCGGGTCGTCGAGCGCGTCTGGCTCGGGCTCAGCATCCTCGGGATCGTAGACCTCGTCGCCCGAAACGTTCCCGTTGGGGACGGCGATAGCTGTTTGGAAGGGAACTTCATCACCAGATTCATCCTCGTCTTCCGGAGGGTCCTGTTCGTTCTCGTCCACCTCATTGTCGCTGACCCCATCCCCGTGCCCATCCCCGTTCTCCTCCATGTCTGGGGTAAGGTCGCGTTCAGATTCTGAGTCCTTGTATTGTGCGTAATCGTCTTCTTCCTCCTCTTCCATGGCCTCTGCGGGTCCGGGCTGCTCCTCTTCCTCTTCCTCCTCGAACTTGGAGCGCCAGTCGGCCTTGTCCTTCTTCTCTGGCTTCTTTTTCGTCGCCCAGTCCCACATGGGCTGGGGCACGACACTGGCGCGCTGCTGCTTCTTCTTGCGCGCAGATGCGCGAGGGACCTCGTCGTCAACCGCGCCGTCGTTGTCCTGTTCGTCTTCGGTAAGCTCGGAGAGCTCTGAGCCACTGTCGAGGCCTGCGCCGCTGTGCTGCTCGTGCTGCTCTTCAGGTTCTGCTGGCGGGGGAGAGGGAGAAGGAGAGCTAAGAGACTCGAGGGAGACAGTTGAGCTCGGCATCGCCGCGGACGACGACGAGCAGGCGTTGTGTTGAGACAAGAGAGGGCTTCGCGAGGCCCACAGCGTCGATGGCGGCGTGGTCGGCATTCGGCATTTCCCGAACGGACCGTCGGTAGCAAATGACATGGGCGCTTGTGTCCACTCTATGTCCGCTCAGCCACTCCTGCATCTTCCCATTATTCACCCGCCTCATCTACTGTATATACCTCAATCTGGTTATCATGGTTTCTGCAGACAATATCAACCTGGACTGTCTAGAGCTTATCTTCGCCTACCTGTCTGGAAATGATCTTGTCTCTGTTTCGCTTGTCAGCAGATCTTTTCTTGCCGCCGTCATTCCCCGTCTGTACAGGACACTGAGCTTCGGTCTGAATCAAGCCAAGCGATATCCCTCGGTACATGCGTTGTTACCATATGAGTAATGAAATGCGATTTAACAGTATCCACCTGCCAGGTAATCTCGCCATTTGCCGCCGTGCTGGCCCATACCAATCTAGCTAGCCATGTCAGGCATATCGGTCAGTCGAACGTCCTCGTAGCTCCGCACAGGTGACGCCTTTCTTATCGACAGTCATAGACTTGCGGGCTATTCCGACAGTGAAGTTCATTCCGCAGCCAAAGTTCATGGACGATTGCGTTCGCACGATATCCATGTGCAAAAACCTCGGTTCCTTCACGTGCACTTTGGACGTCGTGCCGAATTTCTTGCTCGCTCTCCAGGACAAAACGTCGCTGGAGCAGATGCGTATTATTGCAAACTTTACGACAGACCAAGCAGAGCAGGTATCCAAGATCTCCGGGTTGCGCTCGCTCACGCTTGATTCTGGTTCATGGAACTCGATCGACGCTTTGCCCAGATGGAGCGAGGTTCTTAGACCCACGCTCACGTCATTGACGTTGCATGTATGAGTGCAAACCTTATATGTTTTGTTGATGCTAACTTCGGTCTTCAGGGCATCAATACACTCAGCCCGGAGATCATGGAGACCGTCCTGCCGAATCTCCCTTCACTACATAGCTTGCACATCATCGGGTGCCCCAAGGTCGACCAAGGCGTAGCGCTCAATCTGATCATCCACACCCCACATCTTCAGAGTCTAGCGTTCACGAGTTACGTATGTACTGAACTGAGCTACCCTCCCTTTACGTCGTCTTCTCACCTGAACACCCAATAGGACAATTCCCGCTCAATGCCGTCCGTTGTCTCTCCCCTGCCACGTCTGCGCCATCTTGCCATCGACACCCATAGTGCGCCCACCCAGGCCAATGCCACACCGTCCATATGGGGAACAATAGTGAACCTGACTCGGACGTGGTCGTGCCCGCTCAAGTCAATCTCGTTCAAGATATCGGACAAGATCACGCTGGGCGACGGATTCATCGGCAACATCGTCCAGAGCCACGGTGCGACGCTCGCCCATCTCTCTCTGCGCAACTGCGTGCTCTCGAAGGAAAGCACGGCGTTGATCTGCCGGAGGTGCGTGGAGCTCGAGACGCTGAAGCTGAGCTTGCCCGGGAAGGACATGGTGCGTTCTATCCAATTTTGGTCCTTCGATTGGGTTTTGACTCGTGACGCGAATATAGCATGCGTTCTCCGACGCGCTCTACCACGCGAAGCGCTTGCACACCCTCACCGACACAGGTGAGCTGCACAGCACGCACGCTTCGCGGGCCCCCATTCCGAAATCGGACATCAAGCTGCTCATGACTCGCCAACCGACCCTCGAGAAGATCATCGCAGACGGTCGTACGTGGACGGTGAGCTTCAAGTATGGGTTATATGTCATGTCAATCTCATGACTGTCGTGGCATGGGGCTGTAGGCTGTGCGGTATCCAGAGCGAAAGGAATTCGAGCTGCATGTGAAAAAGAACGGGCCGAACTTGCGACACTGGTTCATGCCCCCGTCAGGCGTAATCGTGCCAATGTGACGTGGTCGCTGCGATTCCTTCGTCGTTATCCCTAGGCCGGCCTTCGGGATGGATGACACGGCATCTGTCAAATTACTTGGCGACTATATAGCTTGCGCATGCGATACTGTGCGATTGTTTGACCGTCTTTGTGCAGCGAGAGTGTCCCGGGCTCCTTCGTTGTGACTCACGGAAAGCATCAGCAACAAAATCACAACGACGTTTGAGATGTATCTGTCCGTATGAACATCGACCGATGATAGCAATCGTGAAGCTTACAGTGTGGCTGTGCATCACCGTCTCGGTCGTACCGACCTCGAGGAGACATTCGCCTAGTATATTTTTCATGCGATGGAGTACACATTGCTTTGTACAAAACGTCTACTCATGTTTTCCAGTCGCAAAACGATCACTCCTCCGGATAACAACATATCTGTCGGAATGCGGTCAGGTGACGTGTCAGATTAGATTAGATTACCTTACCTTCCTGTTATAGTAGACAAGCACTGCCACCTGCCAGCGCTGTAGACAGTGCTGGCTTCGCTCCTTCCTTTCCTCAGTCAGTGATCTTCCCACTAGACTGAGGTATGTTCATCTTCTATTCCCATACTATACTGTACTCATATGGTTCTTAGAGTCCTCTGTACAGGTATAGTCCTAATACAGTCAGTGATCTTCCCACTAGACTGAGAGTCCTCTGTACAGGATCTCTTAGGTTATGAGCCCTGGCTCCTCCAGCTGAGTTCTTACTCCTCATCACACCACCACTCCCCTGTGTCCAACTCAGAGTTGCACACATACTACCAGGTGTACGACTTTGAGTCCACCCTGCTCCCCATCTCTTGTGCCAGCACACCGGC